TATTATTATTATTATTATTATTATTATTATTATTATTATTATTATTATTATTAATGTTTTCACCGTCAGTATTTTATAATGCAGGCATATTTATTTGCAATATAAGAGTGACAGAAAAAAAAATTTTGCCGGGATGATTTAGGTTTCTCATGTTTCATTTTCGACATACCGTAAAAATTAGCTCGTAAAACTAACAGGCACGTTTATAGAACGTGAAAATACCGTGAAAAACGGTAACAAAAATTTTAAATGGCTCTTCATTCACAATATTATATCCTTTATTTTATGGCTCTTTCCGTACGAAATGTATTTACGATTTAATAATATCATAAGTAAATATAAATATTGCATTCGCATGAACGGATTAGTTGGATAACGCCGTAATGGAAATAATGATATAACATTTTACGAGTTGCGGTCATAAAACGATATTTAAACTACCGCAATGGCTGCTGTCGGTAGAAATTTAAATTTGATCAACGGTTAAATTAATTGACAGACCTAATACCAAGTTAACAAGTTAACAAACAAAAATAACTGCAATAGTAAAAACTAAAGAAAACGGAATAATTTTGGTAATCTAACAGTTAGACTCTAACTCATTAAAATTGATGCTGTTTAAGTGTAAACATTTAATTGAACTCCATGCACACTACGCCAAAAGTATTACGGTATACCACATTATACTAAAAATTATAAAATTGTCCCTCAACTGTTAAAATTTAAAATAGACAAGCGCTCAACTGATCGAAAGATGCTCCACTTATTTATCATTTTTTGTTAATCAAATTAGTTTCACGATAAATATAAGTGAAACTAAGTGTTGTGGTTGTGCATGATGATAAAATATAATACATAATATTATCTATAAAGTCATTAAAAACTAATCTTTTAAAACTTTTGCCAAATGCCAAAATACTAATAATAAATGAGACGTTTACGATGTCCGTGATAATACAGTTAATATAATATATATTCTATATTTATATAAACGATTATTTTTTATTGAATATAACAGAGAAATTATTTGATAACTGAACCTATAATAGCATGGTTATAACATGTAAATAAATTCTACTTTGAAAGTAACTTGAGAATTGACAAAATACCATTTATACTTTTACTTTTTTTTGAACAATTTTTAGTGCCTACCTTAGTATTAGAAACATTGAATTATAAATATATTTGTTTGATTCCATATTTCAATTGTAAAACTAAGATCGCTCGAGATACTGGGTAAACAGCTATAAAAGATACCTGTCAACAAACACTTTTATTGTCTTATTTTTCCGATCTAGTGAACCAAAACCTAGTTTATAGTATTGATACGGATGTTATATATTACAATATTAAATTACGTAACTTGGTATCTGCCGATAGGTATGTCATATGAGAACGAACATTGAATAGTACGAGTTTCAATATTCTATTTTTTTTTTCAATATAATAATATGTTATATCATCCATGTGATTGATTCGCACGCTGCTTTTTCTTTGAACACAATATATGAAATAAGTAATGTCGTCAAACTATTTATTATATTATATCAGGTAAAAATGTTATAATAATATACAATTAAAATATGTAGCTTGCAGTATAGAGTGATAACCAATAATAATTTAAACGTCGGTGAGCAAAATGTCCGGATTAATCATTTAAATGTTTCAGTTCAACACTATAGTTTTAAATATAAAATGTATTATCTACTATTAAAATTATATTAGATGTGTATGACATTTGAGAATATAATTCTGTACATTTACTAGTAGTAATATAAAACAAATTTCGACTAAGTTAAATTTATTCTATAGAATAAAAAACAAATACAAACAAGTTCGTATTGAAGTGATACGTGTATAAACATCAAATGGGTTGTTCTAATGAGTTAGGAAAATATTTATCATCAACTTAATTCTACAATTATGTAATTTGTTTTAAAGTTTAAGGTTTTTCTGAAATTATAAATAAATGTTTTTTTATGATAAGGTAATATTTTTAGATTTCTTTAGATACTATGATATTAATTCATTTTAGAAATGTTAACTCATCATTATATTACCAATCAAAATTTTGAAAAATCATATGAACCCCAATTTGTTTTTATTTTTTAAATAAGCTTTTAAGTTCAATAATCTCAAATTAAAAGTAATTATCTAGTATTGTATAGTATTTTCAAAGTAAAAATTAATTTTGTACTTCATAAACCCACGCAAAATAATTTATTAACGCTAATGCTCAAGCCATAAATTTTCTTTTCCCTCAAACAAAAAAATTATTTAAATCGATAATTTAGAGATGACTTTTTCAAACCAAAAAAAAAAAAAAACAAAACAAAAATAGGTTTATGGTTTTTACGGCTGTTTTCATATGTATCCAACAATCAAAACCGGAATAAATTATTAAAAGTCAAACTAAATTTTCTACGTATAAAAAATACGTACCATTGCATTTTAATCTTATAATCTACATAAAAAAAAATAATAACTACGTATAATACATATTTATTATAAAAATCATAAGTAAATAAAATATAAAAATAATAATTTAGTAGATATAAATTCAGTGCTACAATGAAGAGTTATTTCATACTACTTGAGAGCACAAGTCACGATTATGTCTAGTTCTGATCTAATAACACTTCAAGAAAAACAATATTTAAGATTTTTTTTATACACACTCACACACACATATATTATATATAAATACACCCTTCCACTCCGATAGATAACTCAATTTCACCATTAACTATACAGTTGATTTTAAAGACAACTGTAGAAACCACTGGCCCTTTTTTATATACTACGGAGCAATAAAATGTTTAATCTGTTTATAGCTAAGATTTGCAGAGCGTTACAAAGAAGGGTCAAATGAAGTTTATACTCATTTTCTATTACTGTTCTTGGCGAATTTCAATTGAACATAAAACTGAAATACCAAAATGTAGTTTTATTTTATTTTTTCTTGCCCATGCTGTTGCTAACAACATTTATACTGAGAAATAAAAAGAGTAGAAATAATTAAATCCACAATACAGTTTCAACCACCAGGGTGCTTGAATGCTTATTTATATAACATGTATAAATATACATCGCGCATGTAGAATTTGTAAGAAAAAATATTTAGTCTTCTCAAACAAATATTTTACTTTTTGGTTAAATAATGGTTTTTGTAGATACTTACTAAAAAAAAAATCTATACATAGCAAATAGCTTTATACTTTAATAATATATTTCTAGTGTATAAATGATTCAAAATATTACAATCTTTGTCATGTGTCTACACATAACTGCAAAAATCTATAGATTATAAAAATAAGATGAAAGGTATAATACGAGATTGTTTTTATATTCAAATGTTACAGCTTGATTTTACTCAAAGCGCATTGATGTAGCTAAATGTCATGATTTAATACGAGCACATATTGTTACATAGAATCATAATAAGCTATTCGAAGAAAATAAATACAATGTCTTGTAATTGACCATATTGTCAGAACATATATAAGTATTATTATTTAAGTATTGTTATAAGAACATATGAATAAGATAAATTGGTGTTAACATGATTTTAATAGCTGAATTTTCTGGTAATATTATTTTTACTGTTTGAATAGAACGCATTATCAGATAAAAACAGTAAAAAACTAGTAAAGTTCAAAAGTTAAAATAAGAAACAGGACTTGGGCACAAGGTCGGTATCTTTATATTTAAAATTAATAGTAAATCAACTAACTTACAGGAGTACAGTACCTCTTTAAAGTACGATTTTTGAAGAATTTTCAATATATAAATAGATTTTTATTATATTATAGATGCTTTTAAAACTTTTTAACTGTCTCAAAAAAGTTTCCTGAAAGTAAAACACTTTTTTATAAAATCACTCAAAATTTAAAAATAAATTTTAATAGGTATTATTTTTCTTATACCAATACCTAAAAATCAATATCATTAATATCAAAAATATAAAACATTGATACATTCAAAACACAAAGAAATAATTTTAGGTTTTTTTTAAATCTGAACTAAAACCCGAAAATCTCTATGATAAAAAATAAAAAAACAATTATATTTATTTAAAAATTATTTTAATTACTATAGTCTTATGTCGGACACTATTTGGTATAGTAGAATAAAGTGTTAATTTTGGAAACCCCTTTACTTTTTTACTTTAATAATATTGTATTCGTAGGTGTCACAAATATGTGATTTCTCCCTTATGTGTATATAACCTGTTAAACATCTATTAATTATTTATATTACTTTTTGTACAAAATGTATAGATTGTAATTCTTCAAAATTAAGTCAAATATTTAAAAAGAAAAATAATAATAATATTCTTGATTGGATTGCTGAAATAATTACATCATAACAAAATAATATGTCAATGCTAAATCATATTTATTTATTTTTAATTATTCATTAATTTCTAACAAAAATAGATTATTAAATTTATTCTTCATTAAGCCTACTATATTTTAAAAAATCTTATAAACTATAAACAATAATATTATTAAAAATTAAAAATATTCTGTTTAGAAAATTTAGCCTGAAAAAATGTCTAAATATCAGCATTCTTGAATGCACATCCAAACTAAAACATCTGAAATGATATCGTGACATGTAATAATAATCAAACTACATAAAGGTATAGATTTAATAGATTATCGAGTAAACAATATGACTCGAACACAACAGTTTTTTTTTCAAAAATACGAAAATTGACTGGGTTAGCGAGTATTACGCATACAGCGTGTAAAACTTCACGCCACACAATAATAATAATAATAACTTCAACTGCACGACGATATACATAGCGCCATAGCGAAGTGCCATTTTTTTTTTTTTTTTTTTTAGTCGAAAAACAATAACAGCGAGTGCATGCGAGTTTACACAAATGGAACCTGTACAGCAGCAACAGCAGCTGCAGTTGTGCATTTCAGGCTAGGAGACCATCTGCGATTCGATTAAGTACTCGGGACGACTGTCTATGTCTCGCGAGTACAGCGTACGTAAATTTCTTACGGTGCTTTATCTCGTTTCAACGCCGTTCGTCGTAAGATACCGAAATAATATATTGTGATAGAATAGTTAACATGTCGTTCATCGTACACTACGTCGCGTTCTTGTCGTTGGCATTTGTGGTGGTCATGTCTGAGCTGCAATATCCAAACGAGTCTCTCCAATACCTGAACAAAATAGACAATGCAACAAAATCACACGACGACAATATTAATTTCTTGAAGACGGTGATGGAAGTAGACTACCTCTGGTGGCCGATACTCAACGAGACGGTGCGTGTTAAACGGCCGAAAATAGAGTACTTCGACCCATACGCAAACGAAGCGCCTAATGGGGACTTGGAAGACATGGAGGTGTTGCCGTTGAAAAACATTACAACTTTGTTGGCATCCAATGTATTCGTCGGCACTGACGTGCAGCTTACGATGGACGTACTAAAGACCGCGACGGCATGTTCGGTGCTCAAACACATCTCGTTTCAAGGAATCGTGTTCCACCACCTACTGAAGAAACATAGCTCTACAATACCATACGAAGAGAGAATGTTATTTTTAAGGTGGCTCTTGGACATGGTTCATGTGGCCGTCGACAAGTTAGCAGCGCTGGACTATTCGCTGCTGTTGATCACCAGTATGCACAAGCGCCTCGCTGAAATTCATCTTTCATTTTTAAACAATAAAACAGACCTGGATACCGAGAGCCTTCACGAAATTGGCTTGGATATGTTTACAGAAATCAATAATAAATGTGTCGTGCCTGAAGGAGAAGAAGGCCATTACAGCTCGTTGATCGCCGATTTAAATAGAATCAAAAGGATTGAAGATTTGAAAGCCCACCGCTCACTGATCACTGAAACCATGAGAGACTCTACCGATATAATCGACATTGATATTATGAATAAGATTAAGGGGGAAATAATAATCAATAAGAATATAGATGCAAATGGTATCGATACACTGAACGAAAGCGTATTGAAAAGAGCTTATGGTGCAAATTATGTTCAAATGAACTTTTTGTTTTTGAACTTGCCCATATACACGTTAGCCGAATCGCAGTGGAATACTCTATTCAAACTTGAAAAATCTATGCAATAGCATGCAACACCTAATTCTCCTAAGATTCAACAGTCCTTATAAAACGGGGCAGTTATCATTATGACTGTATTTGTTTTTTAATATTTTATGTTATATGATACGGTTTATTATAGTTTTTAAGAATTTGTAATTAAAATTATTTGAAAATTATACGTAAGCTTTTGAACTCTTATATCATTAGTTTATATCATGAAATAGAATATTATTCACATTATGTTTATAAATAAATGTATTTAAATTTAATAAAATTATAAATACGATGTTTAACACTATTTTAATGATTTTATTCTTTCACATCAAAATGAACTAAAAAATGGTTAAAAAATCGAACAAAGAGTTATCTAAATTTAGTCACTTTGTAGTGATAATGCTTACTCAGATATTTCAGTGTTGTTAATGTTAATTAAAACGAAAAAATAAAATTTAGTTTCTTTATCAATGTTATACTCAAATTCTGACAAATGTTGGAACTCTAGTAGGTAAATTCAAAATTTCATAAACAGTAGAAACAATTTCTGCCAGTTTTTTTTTTTTATATTGCATTTCACAGTGTTATAAATTTCATGTGCATTCATAATTTCATTGATACGTGTAATGTTTATAAATACTATATTTTACATGGTTTATTTTTTCCAGTTATTTTTTAGTATTTTTCGTGGAATTTTTGAGATTTATCTTATACATATTTCTGTCGGCCGTACATAATTTGCGCATCGTCTGTTTATCTGTGCCAAAATATCGTATATCATTTGCGCATCAACGCTAATTATCGTTTGCGCATTGTCTGTTTTACCTGCACCAAATTATCATACATCAAATGCGCATCAACATGTTGAACAATAGAATTGCATAAAAATAGTTTTTAATTGAAAATGTAATGATTTCCATAAATCATATGTAATAAATAAACTCATATAATTAAAATTAATTGAATTTCAGTCATAATAATTATACAAATACACATATTAAAATGAAAACTTTTGTCAACAGATTACAGTCGTAAAGTACAAATATAAATATAATTTGAATAAATTGAAAATAAATGCCATCGCTGCCATCACAAAATCTCTCCATTTCTCTCTATCATATGCGTCGTAAAATATATTTTAAAACAGAAATATCTATACAATATTTGAAAGTTGATGAATGAATTTCTAGATCAAAGTTAGAAAACAACTAGCACTTTTGGGTATACACCTTTTTTTAAATTCTATCGTTAAATAATATTGATGCGCAAATGACGTAAGACCTTTTAAACGGCTAATACGGAAATGATGTATAACCCAAAAATTGAATAATGCGCAAATGTCTTACAAAAAAGGTCAAAATTAACAATAGCGATGCGCAAATGACAACCGGCGATTTCTGTCATATATCAATATTGTAATTGTCATATTAAACGTGCTATAACAAACAACTACAATTTTATAGACATGGATTGTTTTTAAAATTTATGACGAATTTTACATTTCTGTGTAAAATGATCGAAAAATACATCCAAATTCAATAAAATAATAATATTATATTCAATCGTTTTTTTTTTGTAGTGGGAAGGACGGATCCTTGTCAGTTGGTGAAATGCTTACACGGTCAGCGGTGCATGGTGGACAAAGTTAGTGCGCAAGCGCATTGTGTGTGCGCCGAGGACACAACATGTCATGGTGATGACAGTGGTGACGATGCCGGTGGACCGGTGTGCGGCAACGACTGGAAGGACTACCCGAGTGCGTGTCACGTCAGAAAGGCGTCATGTGCGTCGGGTTTAAGCATAACGATCAAATATAGAGGACTATGTGGTACGTGGAATGACAATAATATTAAATTAGCTGTATTTACTTTTAATAATACAAATGCTTGCAAATTGAGTCGTAGTTACAAAAAAAAAATTACAAACGATAATATTACACAATACTTATTTATTCCTACTGTAAAGACACGAAAATGTATAATTCACTCGTTATGTCAACTGTATGTTATTAAAAGGAAGGATTTTAATAATTAATCGTATTGGGAGTACAAACAATCGAAAAAGAGTACAAATGCAGTAGATTTTAACAGTCTCGATACTGCATCAGTTTAACGACGAGATACGCTAGTCGTTTAAAGAGTAATATTGTATTTATATTTCGGTGGCCCATGCCGAGACAAGCTAGTGATAAAATTACATATGATGATATATTATAATTTATAATTCATAGGTATACAGTTTTACAGAATAGTCTAACACTTTAAACGCCCGCACCCTTTATCTAGTCTAAAGTTCCCGAAACAACTATATGGTTAAGCAAACTGTAAATTCTTTGCTTTATAAAAAGTATACCTAATATTTAAATAAAATTTGAATATCGTGAGTATTGTGTTGTTTTTTTTTTTTTTGTCTCAAATGAAATTTTCACACTGTTGCCGTCTATATCATTCTACAGATCCATGTGACTATATATCGTGTGAAGAACCCGAAGTATGTCGTCTGGACTACGAGAGACGTGCCAGATGCGTGTGCTCAGAATTTTGTAGCGATGAATTTATTCCAGTGTGCGGATCCGACGGCCGAACATACACGAACGAATGCTTTCTACGGCGACAGGCGTGTCGAATGATACCAAACCTAAGAATCGTCTTCCACGGCCAATGCAATCAGGGTAAAACCACTATAAACTCATGCCTGTAGATAACATCCTGTATTATAATTTCATACAACGCATCCTAGTCCCGACAGATCCCAAAACCTTTGATATCAAATTGATTGTATGTTGTTACCTACCTATAAAATTGCTTTACCCTAATGAGACGTATTGGAAGAACAAAAAATTTCAGTCATACAGTAATTTGCATTTTTACTTTTAAGGACCAACATTACACTAGATTTTTGCATGATTTGAATAAAAATTTTATCATGATTTAAAAAAAAAACCATTATTGATTCAAGGTATAAAAATCATTATATACCGGTACATATACATTAATATTACAAAATCATGAATACGGTTACATCATGAAATGTGTGACAATTGATTTTGTAACGAAACATTTATGGCATAGTAACATTATGTATAATAAACTTATATCTAGATATATTATGTTAAAAACATTCCAATCTGATTCCTTTCTCGCCAGTATTTTCTTCAAAAGGATTACAAAAGTACGTTTCCCTATCAGAGATACGTAAAATGAGATTTTTTCATTAATATATTTCAGTATAATAATAAAATAAATGATTATAACTCGATTTCCTTGGTCCCAGACGTAAACCCGTGTCTAAACTTCACGTGTTGGGAAGGATCTCGTTGCACTATCGACCATCTAGGCATTGCTGAGTGCCGTTGTCAAGAGCCCACACTGTGCGAAACATCAGTGCGACCTGTTTGCGGCACAGACGGTTATACTTACGAGTCCAAATGCTTCTTAGAACGGATGAGTTGTAACAAGAGATCCGGTGTCACAGTGGCATACGACGGACATTGTGGTAAGGGTACACATATAAAGATTTTTGTAAGAGCACTCAGGTTGATTATTTGAAATATCACTTGAAACAATAAATACTACCAGTAAAAATTTGATTATTTTAACTCTTTATTGTGGTGATTTATTTGGCTTTTTAATATGTAATGGAAAATTATTATTTTTTATGTATTCACGAACAGAATATAAAACGAAAATGTAAACGTAAAATATTTGATATCAAAACAATAGCTTTCCATTTACAAACATTTAATGTTTAAACAAAAAGGGTGTAATGGTGATAACCTTGCAAAATTTTATGATACACTAATAATTACTTCCCTCGACGCTTATTAATAACAAAACAAATTAAAAATATTTATCGATATTCTATATTAATTTATAATTAATACATCAACATGTTTAAAAATAGATATTCTATAGAGTGTAGAGTATATACAACATGTAATTAAAAATGTGTCATCATTTAAAAAAAAGGTATAATAATTAAAAAGTAAGTTTTTTTCAAAATCACAAACATCTACAAAGGAAATCAATATTGAATACATAATTCTCTACCTGTATAGCTAGTAATTGATATAGTGTACAATTAAAACTATACATCGCAATAAATAATAACTCACAAGCCTATATTAAAATGTAAGCTATAAACACGGATATTGATATTGAGACTCATATAGCTCCAAATGATAAAATATTTTTAATCATAAATTTTTTGTCAATACTTAAAAGCCAATGAAATCCGCCAATCTATGTACGGTACGTTTAAATGTACAAAAAAAAAACAAACACTTTGATGGATTTTAGAAAGCAAAATTTTACAATGATATGCTTTAATTTATTTGAATGGTTTGATTTTTACTTTGGTTTTATTCATAGGTGATATTGAAAGGTAAGAATGTATAGCTGATTACATTTATCAGAAATCGGTTTCATAATTTTTTTCATATTTAAAACACTGGTTTTTTTTTTTTATTACTATACTGGTGGTTATTTTTTTATTTTTTTTTATTTTTTACTGTTGTAATCATATAATAATGGTTTTAATATTATATTTGAAGGTTATGAAAGCGAAAAAACTATATTTATATAGTAAAATATTATTAATTTACCTAACCTAGATTTCTAAAAAACATATCTGAAACTTAATTAATTAATAATTTGTACGCCTTAACAGCAAAATAAAATGTCCTTAAAATGTTATAAAGGTAAATATTATTAGGCTACTATAAAAGGAGCATATTATTAAAAAATACAAATTTGAAATAGAAAATGTAAAATGTTTTTATAAAACGTCATGACCTATAAAATATGAAATAGATAAGTATTATTTTAATTTTTGAATTTTGAATTTTAGCAACCATCGCTATCAACTACAAGGTAGTATCAAAAGCTAAAAAAATTATATGTTAACAATATTTTTATTAACGTTGGATTTTATCATCAGATGGCCTCCCTTCTCATGTGTTTCATGATGTGTATTTATTTATGTTAAAATTTACTTATTATGCCTTGTAGCATAGATTGTAAATATTCTTAAAAAAAAAAAAAAAAAACAATATTTTAAATTAAAATAAATTTACATTACAGTATTAAACTGAATTAAAATAATACGTTTTTAAAAAATATTATACTAATCGTCAAAAAAATAAAAAATATACTTAATAATGAGTTAAATGAAATTTATAAGTTTTTAAAATTCTTTAATACATGAATTGAATTTCATAGCTGTAAAGTATTTTCTG